AAATGGTATTATAATATATATATATATATATATATTATAATACCATTTTGAAGCTGCAACAGCAATAAGTGAAACTTACAACTCTGATTTTGTAAGATTAACGAAAACAGAGGAGGTAGTTGTGACGATCCTGCAATGTCTACGACGCATTCTCGATTTCCTGAACCAAAAGATATCACCTAGAATTCTTATAACATTGTGATGACAATAGAAAAATAATAAAAACTTCGATAAGTCTTGTTAAAAAAAGGAGTGGCACTGATGCACATTTTTTGTTTTAAGTCATAGAAAAAACCAAACTCAAAAAGTCAAAAACAGAAAGCAAACCTTCAAGGCCATTTCTTGTATCAATAAAAATTTTCTGAATTTAAGGAAGGAAAATAGGATCTTATAGTGTCCAATTAATAATATTTCCACACCTAAATAAAATTTATGATTTTAAAGTCGTATTAAATGAAATAATCTGACGATAAAGTCTCTACCATGTAGTCAGAATATAAAATTTTTTTGAAATTAACAGACCTATGAGACTAAAAAGTGTACCTGTGTTTGAAACAAGTAAATTTCTAAGTGCCTGTAAACACATAGCAATGTGTCGGAAAATGTCATCACATTCATTAGTTGTTGACTGCTTATACCAATTCATTTCACCATTTATCTCTTTTTCACGGTTTTCTTCCTCGTTTTTAATAATACAATTATGTTTTTCATGCAAGAAATCCAATAAATCCACGCAAAATTTTTTCGGCTCCTATAAAGTCACGATTTACTCAGTAATTCAAATAATTTAGTTTTGACTAAGCGTGAACCACGCAAAACAAACAAACAATACCTACTCAAATGTAATTATGATTATTTAAATAGGATTTAAATCATTTGAATTCTCTACTGCTAAATTTATACGGAATAGGTATATTTTGCTGAAAGCAGTAGTACAATACAAATATTTGTGACATGAACATACATGCAATTTGAAATTTGGCTGTTCATTGAAAATGCGTACAAATATTTCGCCTACAATCAATTCTTTTTCATGAATAGAAAGTTTGAATTCTCCTCCATATAAATCACTCTGCAAAGTTTAAGACGTATGATAAAGAATTTTCTTAAATTGTATAACTTTTTTAATTTCAAAAATCACTGCCGTAAAAAAGAGAATAAATAACTGAAAATTTAAAGCCTATTTGATAAATACGTTTATTTCACTAAAATATCAAAAATAAAAACTGACATACCGTATTTGTAGCTGAAGTTCGATGGTGCTCAACAAATTCCAGTAATTCATTCCGAATGCCATTATCCCATATGAGGTATGGATTTTCTGTATTGCTATTCAAGATTTTCAGAATCTGACAAGAAAATTAAAAATTCAATTCATGAAGTAATTTGTTTAAGTAACATTTTTATGATGTCTAAATGAGACACACTTACAATCAGTTACAGACTTTAAATGAATAAGATTCACACCTGATCGTTGTCTTCTAAGCGTTGCATGAGTAGACATACATAAGGTGTAAGCATTGCACGAAGACTTCTCTGCACACCATCATTATCTGGTGTTCTTCTTCTATATCCCGCTAAACATGCCAACGCTTCGCACGCAGACCGAGCTAATTTATTACGTAACGACTGTTTGTTTGTATTTTCATTGTGTTCCACCTCTAAAAACAACTACAGTTGTTAACATTATTGAAGCAGAATTTAATTTATAATAGAATAAATATAATTACTTTTTAAACTATCTAAAATGTAACGGTATCCAAATTCATTACAGAAACTTAGTCCATGACACAAAATTTCATGCCTTCTACAGATATAGTAATAACACAAAAAATTGGCCTCCTTCATCCAAAGTGTAGTCGTAATGAAAAAGGTGTGGAATGAGCTGCCACATCACACCCGCTTGAAAGAGTTGCATTTGAAGTATTGTACACGAAGAAAATGAACAAATGCACTCAGCAGAAGCACAAGCAAGTCGAGTAAGATGCTACAGTATTGATTGAAAAATTACCAATTTTAAAACCAAATTAAAAACAGGTTACATTTTAGTTTCAAATTAGAATTCGATTAACGGTTCCGAAAACTTTTGAATTCTCGTACAAATTAAATATTACTGAAAATTCTATCTCTCTAATACGTCAAAGGTGCAATTTACACTCTGAACACTAGAAAATAAAATTACGTGAAACTGTAGTAGCCTACAAACACAACTGGATAAATTAGGCATTTCCGAAATTTTTTCGCTGCAAGCATCAAATTGAGCCGCTGTTCCAAAACAGCATAACGACTCAATACAAATCTGAAAGCCCAGAAATTTTTTGTCATATATTTTCGAATTATTCTAGAACTTTATTTTCACTACCATAAATTAGCAGAAATATAAATGAATACATAAACATAAATACAGGTTTATATAACTAATTCATGTATACTTAAAAAAGACATAATTTATATGCAGCCTGAAATTATGAGTTACAAATTCTATCTCTTTTCTTAACAAGAAATAAACAATCCAATGAATTCAAAATCCGCAAACATTATACCTGCACTACTATATCTTCCTCTTTTGAACTGAAATTAACCATTGGCACACATCGTTCAAATGCTGACTGCAGGGCCTGAAATGTATTAGTTCAGCTTAAAATCTGGTTGTTCTTTTGATAGTAATTACAAAGAAATGTATATCGATAGCTGAACTATAATTTAACTACTGAATGAATATAAAAACTGTTATAGACATACTTCTAAACCAGCATCACGCCTTAGCTGCTCAGCATTCAAAGATGAACTCATCAGTGTATAACGGCACAATTCTACGGCTGCGCCAAGTAATTGTCCACCACCTTCCGCAAATAAAGCATCATCTTTTGATTCCAAATTAATGGTTTTTATCAGCTGAACATAGCCAGCATATTTATATGGTGAAAGTTCTGAAACACTCGTAAACCATGAAATAATTCCTAAAATTAATTTTATAGATGTTGAGCTATTTCTGACAAAATTTTTTCTTTCTTCCGAAGTCAAATTATCTTCATAATGTTTATCCACTCCCATGTTGTTGGATAATGAATTTTGTGGACAGAAACTAGTATTTAAACTTGACTTCTGGAAAGTTTGATATCAAAAAATTTGACCTTCAGAATATCGCCTGTAAACTATGGTCTGAGCTTGCAAACATAAAATAATGTGCTGCAAATCCGGTGAAATAGAATGATGCACATTTGATGATAACAATTCGTAAGCAGCTGTTATGTGCTCAAATTCTTCTCTTCCTTCGGGATTTTTATCTGGGTGATATTTCTGTGCAAGTTTAAAGTAAGCTCTACGAACTGCTCCTTTATCCTTCCATCTAAAAGCGATACATGTTTAATCATTTGATGTTTATTTTTAAGATGACAATGCGATTTAGTTAATTGGAAGCAAATTTAATTGATATGAATAAATGCTGAGCTAGCTTCATCATGTATGAAAAATTTCTTCCCAAATAACTAAAATTACTACGGTTTACTATTGCTTGACTCCCCAGGCCTCAAAATTATTAAGTTCAAAAGTGCGTTTCTTAGCCAGTTTCAAAGAAGTGATCTAAAAACTTTCACCATTTCCTTTCAGTTGAACTTATTATTTTTTGCGGCATTTCTTCAGACAGAATCAGAGATTAAGTATCATTTAAACTTGAATTGTTTGGAGCTTAATACCCAGAATGAACTGTACTATTGAAAAAATGCCTTGAAAAATTCTTTGTCTATATAAGAGATGCTTTTTGCAATCACAAGCTCAACTGATTACTAACAATCTATTTATGTTGTATGAGATCAAAAATTACAGTAAAAGTTCAATAGGCCAAAGAAATAATTTGGAAGAAACTAGGAAAGACACAGATTCGTATAGCTCTAGTAAACTGAAGCTCACAACAGTCAGTGTGACTTTTATTAACCAAAAACTTGTGCGCTTAACAAATCAAAGGTCGCTCAGTAATTTCTGTGCAAACTTCATTGTTAAGATTAACTAATTTTTTCCATTTTACCTAAATTTATGTTAGCGACTGTACAACCTAATCTCACTGAGCAGCAGATTTAAATAATCGCCTTAACAAAACAAAATCTGAATGATTTTACGATACTTCGAATGACATAACAAAAACAAATCTTGTTTTATGAAGTTTCATTATCATTTATATTTTCTATAGTCAAAATTGCTCATATGATTAGTGTAAATGCACTTTTCACATTTTCAAAAACAAAACTTACGCAGAATCATGATTCGAAAGTTGAAGAACCACACATGCCTGCTCCAGTGACATTTCAGGAGGCCTTTTATCAATTTCATTTAACCACGTTGTTAAACACGAACGCAAAAAAATAACCTATAAAAGTTTCTATAAAAAGATAGAAAGAATAATTGCATGAAATAGAATTCGATACTAAAAAGAACAACAGCACTTATCTTAAATTAAAAAAAAAGCTGTATGAAGAATAAAATTGAATAATAAGGAACTGCATGTATTTATATATATTGTAATGGTTTCGATATTTATGTGAAGAGTACTTGTAACATTAGAGTAAAAGAACTTCTTTGTTTTGAACTATGTTACAATTTAATACATTTCAATCTTATTCTAGCATGTCGTAAATGTTTCAAATTTTTTATTACAGTACGTCGTGAATTAAATAAGAACCATGTTTTTGCAAAAATATCACTTGCAGTACTCAAATAATAAGTAAGTAATGTGAATAGCACGCATTTACTGACCGGATCGCGTATCGGCCAATTTGGGAAACGTTCAGCATTGCAAAGAAGTCGTAGATAATATAAATGACAGAATAACTCTCCTTCCAATTGTGGATAATTAATAACCGGAATTGGACAATACTGATACAGAGCTTTTATGTTTGATGAAAGACGAATAGAAAAATCACTGACATGCACAGCAATACGCTCAATCATATGTCGCCTGAGAATGAGACTAATCAATTTAAAATTTATTGGTTTAAATTTTTCGCAATTAAATTATTTTATAACACGTATTAAAATAGTGCTGACTTTCGGGAATGTTATTGCTTACATGTACTTTTAACGTGCTTCATTTCCCACATCTTAGTATGAAAATATAAGTTTTTTTTTTTCGACGAAAGAATAATGCTCAACAGTTTATTCCATTTTAATGAAACAGCCTTTTTCTATTGATACAGTTACCTCATTTCATTGTTCCATATAATTTCAGGATTATCGAATTCCCCAAGAAACGTTTGTGCAAATTTTTCAGGCCCATACTGTTCCAGATATAAAATAGCTGCTTCAGGGAGTAGAGGGCTTAAAATACTATGTGAAGCGAAGTCTGACTTTGCCTAGAAAAGAGATTATTTAAACGTTTCTGTAGTTTGTAAACAGGAAATAGTAATGGATGTAAACTTGTAAACTCACCACTGCTGATCGAAACGCTTGTTTCATGTGTGTATAATGAAGAAATCTGGCTATAGGCAATAAATTTGAACCTGTATACATTAGAATGAAGAAGAACACACCCGAAAGGTATAATCTTGGCAAAAAAGGATTATCCTGCAATAGCATACCATTGTAAGTTATTGTGTTTGATTTTTCCTCAAGGTACAAATTATATATGAAGAAAAGTCAAAGACGTATTGCAATTTTCTAAAAACCTTATATGACTAAATAAATTAAAAATTAGCAAATGGTCATACATTTCCCATTATTTTTGACAATGCTTCATTGTGATTTCTTAAAAAAGATCAATAAGTTAGACATAACTCTGAACCAAACCACCACACACCTCAATAACATGTAATAGCAAAGATGCGACTCGTTGAACAATCGCAGGATCATATGTAAGAAGTAGCTGTACAATTTGGTAAAGTAGTAATGGTTCGGATAAGTTTCGTTTCACCTGTGGCATTGGTCTTACAACATATTCGTTTTCGTCTCTAAAACAAAAAAAAACAAAAAACAAAAAAAAATTTAACTTGTACACAGATCTATTGCGAAAACAAACTAAAATGTATGAACAACGCTTTTTAATAAAAACAGCTAATACACTATTACAGTTCACATCAAAATAGACTTATTGCCGATCAAAGAAAATTAACTTGCAAATATTTCGTCAAATAAAAGCCTAAATTGTTGGTTAGTTTCTGAAATTAAATTCACTATTCAATTCAACAAGTTACCTTGATGGGAAAAATGTGCACATCTGGATGAAAATATCTAAAATCACTGTGCAAAGTTCAGTAAAATTATATAATGTATTAAAACCGATTCCACAGCACACTGTCCACCGAAACTGTGAAACTGATGACAAAGTGGCCCACTGATCCAATCCCTGAGCCCATATTTGAGTTCGCTCGAAAATCACCTTTTCATCATAAAGTTTTTTCATCTAGACAAAAAATACATTTAGAAACAAAATACCGAATTTAAGTGCTAACTTCCAAATTTAGCAGTTTTGAAATATGTAAAGCTATATCACACAATGAAACACGATGATTTTTATCCTCAATTTCGATTATGGACATACTACAAAGATGTAAAATTCACCTCATTGAAAGTTACTGGTCCTTGACGTTTGTTTTCTTTATCAGTGTAGTACCACTCCTCTGTACCATTATTTTTAACCGATTCGTCTGCCTCGATAACATTTGTCTGGACCTGAATGTTATAATGTTAATCAGTATTATTGAGTACTTCAAACAATAAATAGTTGAATACATGATATTTCGATTATGATCGTGTAAACAAACTTGATTATGGATTCTGGCTCGAGTTGTGTGAAGATGAGCGAGAACTGCCATATCAGTTAGTAATGGTAACACACCAGCATACAGTAGTTCGCGTACATTATCTTTGTTCTGTACTAATTTACTTATCAGAAACACCTGAAAACATCATGCTGTGAAGTAAAGAAAAATCCACCTTAGAAAAATCTTGTGGAACAAAACTAACTCACCGCAAAATTTTTATACAATTTGGAAGCCTTTTTTCACTTATTTTGATCAAATCGTTTATTGAGACTACTTACTTTAATTAATAAAAATCTATAACTCCTGCATTTCACTAATACACGATTTAAACTTTTTAATTTATGACTCTTATAACGAATGAAGCTAAAAAAAATATTCACAACATTGACCTAAAATCATCTTCTGGATATCAGATGCTAAAAAAATAAAATGGGAAGTTATCAATATTAATTTAGAAGAGATGAAAAACTACCAAATGATCTCTTTCAAGAGGATTTAAGCATTTCGACAGCATAGTAACAATGTACTTGGAGTCTAGAAATGGCCCAATAATGCTATGGTATCGCCCATATGTTACTGCCATAGCTTTCAAACACAGGCATCGCATTTCACTTTTTGCTGACAGTAAAAAGCGATGATAGACGCTATTGAAAAAGTCTCCACTAAAAAACGAAACTTAAAAATAAAAAATGTTCCCAAAATTTAAAGCTTTGATAGGTGATAAAAATGCATTTTTTTGTTTCTTAAAAATCAAAAAAAAAAAATGCTTAGACGTTATAAATACATGGAACTGACGGGCTGTGAATCGGTGTAGCAGTAGCATCACTTTCTTGCAACAATATTCGCAAGTAATAATCACCGATTCTAACTTCTTCTGCCAGAGATGGGTAGCGAACCTGAAGTAATTCAAAAAATTTTGAATGATTAAAATTCAGCAGTTGACATAAGATAATTTAAGCAAAATTCGACAAAACCTACTGAATAAAGGATTGTGAAAAAATGATTTTTGAAGCAGCAATCTCAAAGATGTACCTGGAACTCAGTGTGATTCCATGAAATTGGATTGCTTGTTAAAGAAATTTCTTTTTCCTGTCCCAAAATTCTTATTTCATCTTCAATCGAACGACGGAATTCTTCGCGTGTTGTCTCATTCCAAATCAAATCTGCCTTTAAAAACGTAAATAAACAAAATTGCGAACTACATCAATTGAAAATTGGCTAAAAATCTAAAAATAACACATGAAAGAAAAATGAGAACATTTAATATCTAATATACTCCGACTTAAGTCATTATTAAATCGAATTTTTAAATCAACTCAAGTACAAATCTGTGAGAAATTCAATTACTTTACAATGATCTTTAGAAAACTGGAAATAAAACATTTTCCAATTAATATCATTTTTTACGCGTTGACGTCTTTTACGCAGTACGACAGGTTTTTGTAATTTATCCTGAAAGTTAAAAACAGGTGAACTTTTTGGATGGAAATGTGAATTATGAGCCCAATAGAAATTGATAAAAATATTCATTGTCAATGCAAGAGTTAGAAACACTTAAATATATATCAAGTTATGAACTCTAAGAAGTCATCAAAGAGCTTTTAAAATTTTGTTTGCTAACACAATTTGAAAAAATGTGGAACAACTTGCGTCATTTTTTTGCAGGAACGATAATTTATGCTCTAAATTCCAATGCTGTAACAATCTATCGAGTTTCGCTTCCAGATGTAACTGTATTTGTTGAACTTGATCCTGTAAAAAACCAGAGTTGTTGGTCAAAATATCAATGTCTCAAACGAGTCTGAGATCATTAAAGTTCGCTACAAGGACTGAAAATTCACCAAAAGATGATTTTGTTTAAATTCTGCACTCGCTATTTCTAAATTATTGCGGGTCAACAAATAATCTGCTTCCTCAACTGTTGGCATTTCAGGTGAATTCAAATATTCCAGTAATCCACGAGGCTTAAAATTGCATTGACTGGAAAACAAAGACTCGAATCACATATTACAGTCATAACGTCCTATCTGCACAATGATTAATTTTAAACACAGAAAATCTTCTTTATAAAAATATCATTTTTATTTCCTTATTTTTCACAAAAATATGATAGCATTTTTAAAGGTCCAAAATTTTCTCTCCACGTTTCCAATTTTCAATAGTTTATAATTATTTTATCCATGCGACTGAATGGTCAACGAAAGAAAAGAAGATTATACCAAACATCTAGATAACAGATCGACAGCAGCATGATTGCCAGCAATCCACAGTGAAAGCAAACATCCACTGAGCTGTTTATTAGCAAGCACTCGAAGATCTCGACCAACACTGAGTAAAGCCAGATGAAGATGTCCCAAAAATGCTCCTTCTGTTAGCGACAACATTTGCATACGCTTGGAAATTTCTACTGTTGATTCTTCAATGATTGCACGCATTATCATTCCTGCCCCTGCATATAATGGCATAGTTAACAAAAAAAAAGAAAAAATCAATTACTAAGAGTAATAAATCACAACAAATACTGTGAACAAAAAAAAAGAAGGAATACATATTACACATTTCAGTAAAAAGTTCAACATTTCTTTCCAATATTTCGCAAACTGACCCTTGACAATTGTCATTGATGGATATTGAAAAAGCTTATAAAAGCTTGACCCACGCTCAGCAACCATCTCAAGCACTGAATCGAACACAGAACCAGGAGTCGTTTCACTATATGGAGCACACATTGCGTACGTTAGAAAATCGAGCATACTGGCAATAACAAGGGCACCAGTTTTGTGCTCCTGAAAATTTTCAATATCACCAAAAATTGTTTAATGTTTGATTATTTCTAAAAATGAAAACGAACTTATGATAATGAAAATCTGAAAATCATAAATTTTGCTTTAAACTAATTTCAATCAAAAACTAGACATGTCACTGCATTTTTCAATAAAATATCTTACTGCACGCTTATAAATTGTCTTAATATATAATCATACGTTTTCGCACTTATGTATTCAAAAATAAACTCATGACTTGCTAATTCGTTAATTATAAATCACAACAAATACTGTGAACAAAAGAAAAGAAGGAATACATATGTCTTAGTAATTGCACTAAACATACCTTGATGACTATAAAGGAACATTCGTTCTATTATATTACGATAACGATGAAATTATGATGAAACCCATAGTAAAATGAAGACTCATTAACTTCGACGATCAGAAAAAAAACTCAAAAACTGTAATAAAGTTACAAAGCTTTCAATACTCTACCGTATGCTTGACGATCAAATCCAACAAATGTTCCACAAACTGAGGACTAGAAAGCAAGGATTGCTTGTTCAGTTGCTCCAACTTCAGTTCATAATTAGGATGCATTGGTTGCATCAACGCACAGAGCATTTCAACCACTGCATAATCAAGGCATTCGTTAGATATATTCAATATTCGCACTACCAAATCCCCCAACTTTGAACGAACTCTTTAAAAATTTATAAAAGTTACAAGCATTATAAACCAACGATCTGGAAAATGAATATGGAGAATTTGAACAGGCGAAGTTATCATCTGCTCTGAATTGTGGTGTATCGGAAGTAACGTAAACTGGGTAATGTTTGTCTTAAATCTTTGAGAAATTTTCAGTATGCATTTTTTTGTTAACAAAATATCGTCAAATATTTCAAAGAAATAAATCAGTAGATGCCATCTCTCGTTTCACATTAAAATAATGCTGCAAATTTTAGGCAACAACTGATGCAACAGTCTCATGGGAACAGAAATTTTATGATGACCCACCTAAAAATAACCTAATCCGTATTAAAAACTAGCATTTTAATCATTTATTAAAACCAAGCAGTAAAATCCTTCACCCTGATTCAACGGTAAATGTTTGAAAGCCGCTTTTCGATGCAAAAAGTCGATGCAAACATTGCAATTGTGCCTCACACTTTTTGGTTTCAACACCAAAATCTTCTCCTAGAACAGATTCTAAGCAACTGACGATTGTTTTCGATTTGTTTTCAGTGAAAAATCCCTGAAAAACGATATGAAGTGATAAAAATTCATTAATTCATTGAAAAATGAATAAATGATTTAAGCAAGAGACTTCTTGAGAAGTGGAACACACGAGTCCATTGTACGGAATATTGGCATTGAAGCGGCGAATCAAATCATATCTTTTTAGGCCAGCTGAAAAAAAGTAAAATTAGACTTATTCTTCCATTTTTCGTGTGAATAAAAATTTTTAAGGTTCAAACCTAACACGTTAATTTCTTGAAAAGACATTTAATTTGACCTCTAAATAAAGAGTTGCTAATATTCATCATGGAATTGAAAAAAAACTGCCGATATGATGAATAATAAATGATCACAGGCATCCAACAAATTATAAATTTAAAGTTATTTACACAGCCTGTGTAGTGTAATACAAATGAATTCAATAAGCTTTGCGAGTAAACAGTACTGACGTGGAGGAGATATGATATGTCGCATGCATTGTGATTCAGCATCTTCATCCAATACAAATTTGTGAGGTAAAATTCGTAAAAAACGTTCATAATTGATACATGTAACAAATATAGACTGGTTTCCAGAAGCCCGTGATCCATCAGTTAAAGAAGTGAGAATCAAATCTCTTAAAACTTTGCGTGAAATAAACAAAAACTTTGAAGTTATTTTATCTAAGAATTTGAGTTATAACTTGACATAAGTCTAGTTTTTCAAAAAGACTTTTCACAAAAAAATCTAACTTGTAAAATTTTCTGAATAGAAACATACCGATCGGGTGATGTGTATGTTCGAACATCGCTATTATCATAATGGATGGTAAACTTTTGCGGATCTTCCTCATCACGAACGATAAAAATAATCTTAAAAAATTTCAGTAGGTGAAAAGCTGAAAGAATGAACTTAATTCAGATATCTATTACAATAATCAAATCAAATTGAGTTTCGAAAACACAAAGTCTTTTTTATAAAATGATACAGTGCAAATTTTATGAAATAGGAATCGACGAAAATTCTGAACTTCTTTTAATACCTGAAGTTTGTAGTATCTCTTGTTCAAACTCATACCGTTTTTAAAGGTCGTGCACAAACAGCTACATAGGTCACTAGATCTCGTTCAATAATGCATGTACGACTTAAACACAACAACCGTTTAACGGAAGGAAAATGCCGTGGTGTAAACTTCTGAACTTTGAATTCAACATACGAAGTTAGATGTTCATCACGGCTGCAAATTCAACACTCAGACAAAAACCCTACAAAATTTTAGAACTTGAATTGTGATTAACGTAAATAGTGCTCATTCTATTAAGAATAAAAAGAAATCTTACATTCATTCATAAATAGCAGAAGTTTTACGAGACAGACAAATGGTATGATCGCATGGATTTCATGAAATGAGAAAAAATGATTTGCAAGACGAACAGTATACTTATTTTGATCCATGTGTTAGTATTTTCACAAGTAAAATAAGCTGACCTGTATAGACCCAGACGTGTTAACATAAATTGATCTAATGTGATTCCTTCTTTTGAAAAAGGAATTGAAATCCCCAGATAAGTAGCTGTCATTTGTCGTATTGCTGAGATAAGATCGTCAGAATGGTCACAAACGAATAAGTGCTGCAACAGTGCTAGGAAATAGATGATTAATGATACAATCAATATTTCTAAAATAACTGATGGCAAGAAAATTTTGACGTATCTTAACAATATATTTCAAATCTTCATGAAGATACACTAAGAAAAAAGACTAATTTTTATGTTCTATCAAACAAATTATTTCTACTTCTCACCATTTCTTTTCCAAACTACGTTGCCGAATAGACTAGGCCAAATATGTTTACATACGATCAAATTATAGAAAACTAAAATAAAAAATTGATATCGTCACATAAAAAAACTAAAATAAAACAGACCCGCCGCCGTTGTTCCCCCATCTCAATAACAAAACCATTTTGATACTCCTGCATCTGTAATAATGAAAAATTCAGAATTGATAAATTTTTACTTAAAAGAATTAACTTTTCAAGCCAATACAAAATATATGAAAGAATTCAGACCTTCTGCTTCTAATGAACCAAATCATAACTAAGTTTAGCAGTTCGACAAACTTACTGTTATGATCGACTTCATGAATCTATATTTTAACCATGCTATGACTTCACCGCTATCATTCAACCTCTGCAGGGAATGACTTGTTACTCGTAATAGCACTGGTATGCGGCGATTCGAAGAGTCATGCTTATATCCAATGAAATCCTTAACATCAATACTACTTAATAAACTGGAATTATTTCAGTGTCACATTACGTACCTCAAGGTAAAAATGATAAAAGTTTAGATCTCTAATCATCTTACTAAATAATCAATTAAAATCTCAGATCTAATAAAAAAAATTTAATGATAGTTTTTAAACAGCTTTTTAATTTTCGAAAAAAATAAAAAACATTGGACAGGAATTTAATGAATGTGGCACCAAAAGTGAATGGCACAAAATTTCATTATAAATTACAAATTATTAAACACAGAAAGCATTCATTTGAGTAGTCTTCTGGACTTTATAACAACTCTCATGAAGAAGTTTATGTTTACTACAATCATGGAATCAAAAATCTTTACTTTCTTTTCGGGTTGATTGTCACAAAATTTTGGCATATGTACAAGTGTTTCTGTTAATATTTCGAGAGTGTATTCCGTTGAAAAGCGCATAGTATCGTTTCTTCGTTTAGAACGAACATGAATGATAAATTCATCTTGACCTTGAGCTGAATGAGGTGATGGCTTGATAGCAATGAAATCATCGTATAACCACTGAAAATCAAAGTTAAGATAACTTTTTCCAGGAGAATGGGCAGTATAATCAAGGATGCTTATCATAGAACAAAGGTAAGTACTCACATAAGGCTGAAAACTTGTCAAAGCTTCAATTTAAATATACAAAATTTAGGAATCGGACAAATAAATAACTCGATTCTTCAAATTAGTTCTGTTTATTTCATACTAAATGCACATTTAAAAAATCACAAACTTGATTTGTTATTTCGAGTGTAGATGGATTGTAAGTAGTGATAGCCAGTGTACCTATTGAAAATATCCGTTTGTATCTAAAAATAAAAAGTATATCGAAAGTTTAAGCATCCTGAATTTTAAACATATTTGGGTAAAAAGCGTATAACCAACCTTCCTTTCCATGAATGTTTGGTCACTAAATAGCAAAGAATATCACGATTATCAGGCGAAAAAGATGCCATTGAGGAGTCTTCAACGAACTAATGACAAGATTATATGTACTCAATGACACATGTCATAATTCATAGTTGCTACCATACCTGTAAAGTAATGATGGGAAACATGTAGTAGGAAGAATATCGATATTATGCTTGACCGAGTATAAAGAATCTACATAAGTTACAAATATTCAAAAATTAATGGCATTCAGTTCGCAATACAATTGTGCACATTGCTATTCGTCCACACTAACATGATGTATTACTTCTCTCGAATTTTCTAGTTTGCAAAACTTTGCTAAATTGAAAATATCATCCAAAATTTTTCTCTATATGAAAAAAGGCATAGAAGGAATTGCCTGACCAATTCCTGCCTGAATATTATAATCAAACACGAAGGCAAGAGTGAACAATAGAAAAGCTATCTCGACTGAAACGAGAAGTTGCTCGGTCGTTGCATACCACGATGTGATTTTAATAAGAAAGAGTATTCAAAACATTTTTTCCGGGAAATTTAAAAGTATTGGTTTTTTCTCAATTCTTTATTATTTACACAGTACGAGTGATTGAGCTTCAAATGTGGGTTTTAGCGAAATTTGCAAGCGTTGTTTTATACATAAATATTTGTAGAAGTGATTTGCATACGAGATGAGTTGTATTATTGTTTCAGATTATTCGCGGAGAAGTATGCAATTTAATTTATTATCACTTCGCTGCATTTTAGTTTGTGTCAAGTTGTTTTACAAATTTAAGTCGAACTAATGGCTTTGTAAGGAATGAGTTGTAAAGCAGAGTTTATCTACGGTACTTAATCTCATTTCATGGATAAATGAAGCATATATTGATGCATTTTTTGCACTTCGAGTCTAAAATTTGCTAGTAAATTTTTTGATTAAATTGCTGAAGTAAATAAGTGCAGTGATTTTTGCAAAGCATTTGTGTTATTGAAAGGGCTCTCGTAAGTATGGTATTGCTTTTGTTTCCAGTGTACACTTTTGAAGTTTTAATTTTTGAAGTTTTAGGTAGGAATACTCAGTTGCAAGTGACTTGCACAATACTGCCAAACTTCAGCAATGTCCTGGCTGCAGAGTTGACTTCTTCCGTTCCGTTATTGCATCCAGCAGTATTTTGTTGCCAACTTTGGCTTTCGTTTTAAACTAGTCAATTATTTCAGAAGACACGCTCAGTAATATGCGTTACTGAACAAAAGAGTTATTTTAAGAAATATTCAAGTGGTCAGTAATGAGTGAACGTTATAAGCGTTGGTTTGAAATATTTAAACACATCCATCAACATTTGCCAACAAAAGAAGAAATCGATTTAATTGCCCCCTCCCACATCAAGAGTAAGTTTATCTCTTTGTTGTTAAATTCCTGCGAAAACATTTCTAACTTAATCATTCGGCTAAGTTCAGTTACATCACAAATACATTTCATGTCATCCTGACTTCTGCACAGTTTCTTACTTTTTTAGAATTTTGAATTGCAAGAATTATTAGCACAAAATGAAAAAGAAATGAAATTTAAAAACACTATTGTATCATTTTGAAGAACTGTTTTTTGTACAGTTTGAAATGCCTTCAATTTCAGCTGAATATTATGAGCTGCATCCACAGAAAAAAAAACTGCGAAAAATGTTACCGCAAGTAAAACTTAGAAGGTCGTATGACAATAGTGATCGTCTACCTGAGGTTGGAATTATCGTTTATAATTTTCTTTTCACCTCTTGGATATAAATCATTTTTTCAGCAAACGTTTGCATTTTTATCATGGGTTTCTAAGTAACTATTCAAATTGCGATGGTGGAGTACTGGGAAAGTATCTTTTTAAAATATATTTTAAAAAATTTTGTGCAAAATGGTAAAAAAATTTGCAAAGTACTTTGCTTAATATGTTGTTCTTTTATATTTATATGTATTTCAGGTTATACGAATGCATGGTATCTGTGACATGATAACTTTAGATGATGAAATATTACGGCAAATAAGTGAGTTTCTACGAATCCAGCAACGGACAATATTTTCTGAATTCTCTGGGCAGTAATTATGTGATCAAAAAGTTATTTATAAATAGTGCTTATGCGCAATTTAGTTCACTAAAATCTGTTATTCATTGAAATACTTCTTCTGAACATTAAAATAATTATTATAATGGAAAGTAAGTAGCAATATTCGAAAAAATCTATCTTGTAGATCATATTCAAACTTACTTTCATTACACTTTCTTTTTGCTTTAAGATCTTGACGCACCGTTAAGAAGATCACCTCGTAAACATGCATCATCAACATCAAGTCAGACAGTACTGCGTCAGATGAGTTCTGCTTCGAAACTTTCAGTACGTCAAAATCCATATATACAAAAGACCAGTGCGAATATGCAGAAGGTTATTCTCTTCTAAAAATTGAATATGAGAATTCTTTGTCGATTTTTAGGTGAAGATATCTCATCATTTATCACCACTGGAAATTATATTCTACATTTTCAGTCAGTGCCAAATTTTGTAATTCCGAAATTAGAAGAGTCGAAACCTCTAAAAGATCCAACTCAAAGTGCGTTAATCTACTGAAATTTATTCATGCAGTGTAGTAAGATGTCTTTCTGTAGATTTTCATTTACATTTGTGGTTATTTGATAACTAGTTCAATTTCTATACCTAAGTTGACGTTAGAGTTTTCGATTATTGATATGAGCAAAAAGAAAAAATATTGCAATGTGTTTCACGCGCAAAAGTTGAGATTAATCGAAACTTGCTCTTATTTATGTAAAGTAATAGTTTGTATGGGTTTTGGTTTAATTTTTGTGAATTTATTATCCTTCGTTAAAATTTAGTTGGATCATATGATCACATGCTGCGTCGTTCTCCACGAAAGCATCCTTCTTCACGTCGTGAAACGCTCTTGTCGCCGCAAAAACCATTTTTAGTATCAAAATTGATTAGTAATCGTCGCGTGAGTACTGTGGTAGATGCACTTGGTAAAGCAGATTATGAAAAGGTATTTAAGTTAGTCGTATTTCAAACAAATTTTTAGCTTTTCTGTAAAGTATTTGCAATAATTGCATTTTGATCTGTATAAAAAAAATTATTATTTTGACTTCTCTAGGAAAATATTGCAAATGATGTTTTTGCTGTAAAAGACTGCAAAGAAAACGAAAATCAAATAAGTGATCGGAACAAGGAAGAAGCTTGTGGCAGCAAAGTTAATGAAAGTCCTAAAAAAAACCCGTTTCGAAATGAGAAGATATGTTTGAAAGGTGGAATGCAGAAACAGCAGCAAAATTATCGGCGTTTAAAAATGAAAAAGAGTTTCATTCGAGGAACATCTTCTTCAAAAATTAAGTATAGAAAATGGCGAAAGACTCGAAACAAGCGGTAGATGTTTAGTGCGTCTATTTTTGTCCTTTACTTTCTTTGTGGTTTAACTGTTAGTAAGCTTACTTTGCTCGCATTGAAATTTTATTCAGTTTGAAGACAGGAATGTGAGGCTGACAGTTCTGTAATTTTTCTTCTTAATTTTTATAGCTGCATGTCTGTTTTATATTGAGATAGAGAGAAATATTACGAAGAAAGGTACATTTTTATTTAGGAAATAAAGATACGAATCATTTGCAAGCAAATATAATTATTTCGAGTTCCTGAGGCTTATTAATTGATTGTTCTGGCATGGAAGTAAGTTATGACTAATTTTGGTTGAGTCAAATTGTTAGTTTCTTGTGTATGTCATAAATTATTTCCGTATTATTACCACTAATGTCCATCTGGCGCTTGAAAAGTTTTTTTAACGCATTACATCGATATGTCGTTTTTGGGGATTTTAAAATGATTCGTTACCTTACTTTAATTTAAGTTTGTGCTGACTAACCAAGTAGTCAGTACATCGCATCTGAGTATTATTGTGCTTCGTTAGTCACTAAACAAATTGTTACTCACTTCACCACAATTTTTAGAATTTTTTCCGAATTCAATTAGTTTGTCACTAGTGATGCACTGGATATTGTCCCATGGAATTTTCTTTATATTAAACGATTTGTAGAAACAAGGTTACTTTTTATTGGTGATTGATCAGTTTAAAATACAGTAATTATGATGTAGCAGAAGGAAAAACATGAATACAATTGCAAGAAGTATGCACAAAACTTATAGCTTGTCAGACTTGTCTCTAATAGATGACGGTCTTTTACTTTCTCACGAAAACAGGCAATATTTGCATGAATCCCGTAAGGATCTGGCATGCGGTCAAATTTGATAGAGATTGGGGCACATATTAGAATTTACTTCGATGGAGAAAATTTGGATGAGAAATTTTCAAATTAGTGAGTGACAAACCACTCTAAGGCAACGTGATTTTGTAAAAACATGTAACAAAATTACTAACGAAAGGAGGTAAGATGTCGCTTCTTCTAAATACCCTGTTCAAAGTCAAGAAACTGTTGTGGTTGATTTATTATTTTCAGTGCGGAATCTTCCAACTTTAAACTGCTCTTGCAAATTCCTTTCTTTTGGTATCGACACGGCCTGAGCATAAGTATGGTCATCAACTTTACTATCGGCAACAGCAAAACTAACGTTAAAATATATAGTCTCTACAAGAATGTTTATTTTTGACTAATTACTTTAGCTGCAATGCAGGTTTGACAGAATCATAAAGATCTGTATATATGGGTAGTAATTATCAGGCATTCTGGTACCTATATCGATCACTTTATTTATGAATGAATTCTAAAAGTTGGAAAATTTGTGTGCAAGTGTCAAAGGTGATCAAGTCAGTGGCTGCTTGTCAGTAGGATAAAGATCCTCTTTGAATCCTCGGTCATCATCGATATCATCAAGAATCTGTTTAGGTGGAGCAGAACTAGTCAGATTAGGAGCAGGCAACTTCATCTTGCGTTTTTTTTCCTCTTTCAAATACATTTTCCATAGTGCTGCCACTATATCCGTTGTAATCAAGTCACCAGCATTAGCTGCTATAATTCGCAGCACAAATATTCCGTCTTTTCGCAAGCAACGTCGAACAAAATGCTCCAAGGCAGTATTCGCTGCAAAGAAAACTGAATATTCTTACATCATTTATTAGATAAGCAGCTATTTTTTAAAATTATTTTGATTTATGATAAAAGAAATTGTTGAAATCAAACATTCCAAGATAATCTCAGTGTTCAGTCATTCCCAACAGTTATTGCAATCAACAACTGCGTGTTGAAAACACTCTTGAAGTTATGGTGTGAACAAATAAAAGCAGCTTACATGCTATGTAAAGTAATAGCTAGCTCTGACTGTGACAGTCATACTTTCGCAATAAATAAAGCAAATAAATTTCGCAGGGCTTAATATGGGAACCAAATTGTAATAACTGCAGTCTCTAGCTAGTAATTTACAGAAAATTTATTGCAGCTTTTTGAAATCTTCGCGATTCTCTTTTACTTATTCTTCTATCAAATTTTATATCTATCATATCGAATGAAAATGCAACTGGCTATTGCATCAGCTTGAGATGTGACACAAGTACTCTAATATACAAAACGTAAGAGACAGTAAACGAAACAAAAATCTGTTGACATTACCGTCCAACACAAAACTAGGCTTAGACTAGAATAATCGAGATCACAGTCATTAGAACTAATGTAACTCACGACTACTTATGTTAAATAAAATAAAATAAATATATTATTTTATTTAACATAAGTACTCGTGAGTTACATTAGTTACTGAGCGTTCATTCTAGTTCTACTGCAACTGAATACATTTTGCATGAAATTCGCACATTTTGTTACGATTACTGTGTCATCTAATTTATTCTTTATAAACTTCTCAATCAACGAAGAAGCTCAATCATATTACAACCTTGTCCATCCAAAAGTTCGTACACTCTCAGATACTGAGCAATAAAAGAATATTGTTGGTTTTCAACGAAAGACATACAGTACCAATAAATTAAAGATCCAATCGTTAACATAATTACTAGCAATATCCACCACCACAAGAACAGATATACCTGAAATGCATATATTTTTCAAGTCTTTGCAGATATTTACTTTGTTGTACAGTCCCTCAATTTACAATTCTCACTGATAAACAAGTACACAAAGGCATGATATCTCATGATAACTCTCAAATTATTGTTTATATAATTTTAAATTTGCTTCTAGATTTCTTCCAAACTCAACTGACCACTGGTTCTAAACTAGTCTGTTTTTGGTTCAAAAAATGTTTTTGATTTTTCTAGCTCAGATACATTCATGATTTGAATTTGAAACTGGGTAAATACAAACTTTTTCATTGAACATATTAATCATCAGCACACACTGAACCGTATGTCTGTGCTTATTACCCAACACTCGAACATCAAAATCGCACATGGTCACTCTAAACAAATAATTAAGTATCAGTTAAATAAAATACTATATAAAAATGCTTACATAATAAGCAATTCGATTTTTTCTGATTGAAATGCTAATATTTATTAAACACCTTGAAATATTATTTAAATTCTATTACTGAAAAGTATATTAGTTAATTCTTCAATAGCAGTTATGATTTGGCATGCAACTTACGATGATTTCACATTAAATCATGCTAAATGTGCTTGCGAACTTAAAATGATTGCCAAGTTTTAAATTAATTCTCAAATTTATATAGTGAGCATAGAAACCTAGGAAAATGCCCTGATTCTTGCCATTCCCGACCACTGGCTAAGTCTCGAAGAATCTCGAAGCCCCAGAACGTGTAGCTGGTACCAAGAAAACTGTTCAGCAGTATGAACTGAGTGATGGCTTGAATAAGGTATATCAATTTTACTAGCATATATAGTAATGTCAAATAACTTCCCTGAAATGATTACTTCTATTACGACTATTTATAAATAAATGGAATTTGCATCGATCTCAATATTTCTAAAACTTATATATTTTGCCGAAGTTTTGGTGCTTTTGCTGTGATTTCAGCACTGATATAAAAATACGATATAATTGCTAGCATCAAAACTTTAACGAAAGTATTTTGTGAAGTATCAACACATTCACAGCCATTTTTATGCAAATTTAGATTGGCTGAAAAATTTACATTGCGTAAACAAGATGAAATGGGGCTGCTTCGGATCAGATTACGCTGCGTTTTTAATGAATCGAAAATATGCGTAGCTACAACAGCAACTGAATCCTTACGTTTTTCTGATTGCATATTGCTCACATCTTGCGACATCAGAACGATGCCCTTCACAGCTATTCCTGCAATAGACAAATTCTATTGATTCTCTTAAGATATTAAAAAAACTGGAAGACAAGATCCTTTAATACTAAATGTAAACGATTCATAACTTATTTGAAATTTTTAGTTTTAACGAATATAAAGTTTATTTTATGGCCTACACCATAATTATATCTTGGAACTAATTATCTTATCGTTAAGATTTTATTATTACTATTACCTTGTGGCTATACCTTCAACTGCTTAGTCTTGAAACAAAATTCAAGCTTTTTGGATAGATTAAGCTAATGTAAGTTTTGTTGTTCATCAAAAAAGCAGGTCGTAAACGAATTCATGAAGGAAAATATTAGAATTGCTTTTCTCTCGAAATATTTTGCTCCACAAAGTTGAAATTTTCAAAAAAGAATCCACTTGGTATCAACTCCAAAATCACAACTTGAAGTTTCTTGTAACTAATTAGCAATCACGTCAAAATGTTAGAAGTCAATAATTTTAAATAAGATTAAGCAAAATTGTTTCTACCTGACTGCCAGTTGAGTAATTGCCAGATAAGACATGGTAAATAAAATAAAATTCCTTGAAGGCCCAATATGAATGGTACCCACTGATAATAACCTAAAAGTTAGCTCTGCCTTTACATTTGGTAATTTGTAGCATATCAGAAGAAAATAATAACTTATGAATAATAAGGTATCAAAGCAAAGCTGTCCAAAAAATTACCATTTTTTTACTTGCTCTGACAGACAAAAGTAGGAAATTTTATACTGTATAGAACTGGTCAAAGTTTGGAAATTTAAATCTGCACGGATTTCCCTTAACCATTCAGATGTGAATCTAGGATTATAATTATTCCGTTAATTTAGTGCTAGAACTACCTCATTAAATGCACTTAATTATTGTAAGCAACATTTCCATTACTTCTAAAACAATGATGGTATTTTCTAAATAATCTGTTATTAGTCTGGAAAAAAAATCCACTGTGACAGCGTATTGCTTTTATCAGTAGAAAAAATCTTAGCTGATTATATTAAGATAATAATATCATTTTCAATTAACTTCGGATAGATCACTTAAACAATACCTATTTCACGCTCTTCACGTTCTTGCAAATCGCGCGGTATGTAATGATTCAGAGGTAAGAAATATGTATTTTGTACAAAACAGTAATTTTCACTGTACTGTTCCCAAGCTCCTGAAGTGAACAAATGCTAATAGAGATTTAAAAAAGAAGATACTTGGTGCTTTTAATAAATTTACGTGAGAGTGCACCTCAACTCCTCATTTTGAAAATTGATGCAAAAGCAAGTTAATTTGCCTAACTCATTTTCTAGTTCAGTACTGAGTTCTTTAACATAACTTGTATTATCGTTTGTTTGAGAGAAAAGGAGTAATAATAGCAAGAACCTAACCGGTAAATTGTGCCGGAATCCAACATTGGATCGGTTGTCCGACATACCTGAAAAAACGCAAAATAAAAATTATTTCAAAATAAAAGTTGTAACTGACAATACAGTAATAGACAGATTTTGGTAGAGACGTAAATAGTGGTGTATTATTAGTGTACAGCAAACATGCTGCTTAGTTCGATAGAGGTCAATTCAGAAATAGTCTATTCTGCACCTATTTATCATTGATCTTTCAATTTTTACTGGATTAATAAATTCTAACATGTTCTCGACCTAGTGGAATCAGGAGAATATGCAAGAAGAATCAATCAATGCTGCACTGCGTGAGAAACTTACTTCCTAAAATTGTGTAACTAATTATATATGCAAATAAACGAACTGTTTAGCACTGAGAGTTAGTGCAAATATCACAAGTATGAGTGGTGTGTAGTAATAATTGAGGCGATCAACAATATCATCGTCAAACTGTGGTTTGAGACCTTTGAGGAATGCATCAAGAAAAAGCATCCTAAAATAGTTTAATTTGCAAGTTGAATGAAAATGTGCCAGAAACTGGCATATAGCACAAAATAACTTCTTACGGGGACATTTTCGACGTTGACATACATTAATATTTTTGAAAAGCAAGCAAAGACTAATATTTGTAAGAGATTCTGCTCGAAAATAGACATTTTCGTGCAGGCATTCACCATGAAACATCAGTACCTAAAAGTTATTTATGAGTAAATTTAATTGTTAATAAAAATTAATCACACGGAAAAGTGTGCTTTTTTCTGCGAGATCACAGAAACGCATCAATTTTTATTGTTTTCCGAGCACTGCGATTAAATTTACTGATTATTTACTTGTAATCGAATTTATTTTGTTAATATTATCAGATTCAGTTCCACTATTATCACTTACAAGACTTTTGATTACATTTCTTTCTTCACTGAATATGCAAATGCGCTAACAATTTCACTCAACAACCATTTAATTACTGATTATTTATTTATTTATTATTATTATTGTTATTATTTATTATTATTATTATTATTATTATTATTATTATTATTATT